GGATTGAAGGAGTAATTTGTCTTATCCCCATTTGTAAACGAAGACAGTGATATAGATCCCATATACAAAGTCTTTTGAGTTCTAATGATGAAGATCACTGCATAAAAGCTTTAAAGTATTTTTTATTATTATATTTGTTGTTATTTGGAGAGACATTTGTATTGATTGAGGTTATTGTCCATCATTGCTCTTGCGTATTGAAATCTGCATCTGAAATATTAACTATAATCAGGCAGAAGGCATTACACAACACAAATTAAGGAGCTGATTTATGTAAATAAAAACCATTTTGACTTATAAAGTATCAATAACATAACAGAGCTAGTAATCTGGAATTGCTTCAGGGATTGGCTGTGGTGAGTCTAAGTGTTATATGTCACATGGGTCATTCCTCCTGTATGAAATATGAGTGACAGGGCAGGCAAAAGTAAGTGCAATACATATCAGTGACAACAATAATAAAAGATGTGAACAACATTCCAGCCACAAAATTAATTTTACTGTAGGTTTCTTATTCTAGCCTTACATGAGGAGTAAGTATGGTTCTTAGAAAAAATTAAACTGAGAGAAGCCCTGATATGTACTGTTTAAATGGATTCTGAGGGAAGAGAGCAAAGCCATTAGGTGTTGCTGGTATATAATACAATATAAACACTAAGCAGCCACTTCTTTCCTAGTAAAGCAATATATTACACAGAATTTCCTCTGAAGAACTTGTTTTATGTTGTATGGAAATGTTGGTCTTTACAGGTGACTGCAAATGAAACATAACATAAGCTGATATTCTCTTACTTTTAGCTTCTGCATATATAAGAGAAAATTAGTCAAGAATGGAGCATTCAGAAAAATATATGTTCAAATATAAAGGGATTTATTTCTACACTAAGTATGTTACACCTGAATTAATTGATTCACTGGAGGAGTTTGAAATCCGAGTCAGTGATGTATTCCTAATTACGTATCCCAAATCAGGTCAGATTTGTATCATTTTCCCTAAAGTTTGAACAACCAATCTTTGGTCTGAGGTCTTTATCCCCTCCTTATCGTAATAACTATGCATAGGGACAGCTTTTGTCAGAATTTCTGCATTGCATTGGAGCAACTATTTTAGGCCACGTTTGAGACTGCAGTTTCCATTGCATTTGAAAGTGGCCCCGGGGATGAGTTTTAAGCTTTGTGTCTGGTGCAATTTGGATTTGGGGTGTGGACAAGATATGGGTGAGCATGTCCCAGCTGGGATAAGTTGCTGTCTTGGTAGCTTAATATATAACAAACCCTTTACTGGATCTCACTTTTCATAATATGAAATGAAGCATAGTTTTAAAGAGACTGTATTTACAATGTATTTGTGAGTTTTAATTACATTGAAATACAAAATTAAATTAAATTAATTTTAATTAAGTTAGTCAAAGTATAGTCAACAAACATACACATATACAATAAATACAACAAACAAAAATTCAGATACATTAATTTCTTTCTTAGGAACTGTGTGGACACAGAATATTTTGAGCTTAATTTTTCATGAAGGCCATCGGGATGAAACAGAAGACATTCACGTAATAGATCGAGTCCCATGGCTGGAGTACAATTTGAACAAATTGGATTATGCCAACCGTCCTTCACCTCGTCTCTTTACCACCCACCTGCCTTACTATTTAGTTCCAAGAGGTCTGAAGAACAAAAGAGTAAAAGTAGGTGATGTGATCTCTTAATTTTAATTGAAAGGAATACAGACAAGTCTAAAATTAGCAACCTCTCATCTCCAACCTCCCTCAACAGCCCTTTCCAAGCAAAAAGTCCCCTTCCTGTGAATAGAGGTGTTCAAGTTCCCCCAAGACTCCATGTCTTTCCCAAAGAACTCATTGAAGATGAAGACATGGTCTGGGTGGTTATTAAACTAACATGATAGGGTCTCATAGGCTTATGCTGTCTTCTTCCACTCTGGTGCTTTTCTTTAAAATGTAAAGTTTTTCATGCTTGCTGTGCATAGTGCTACCTACCACTGTTTTGAAAGGAAGGGTAAGAACTGTGGAACAATGTCAATTGCTTACATTGCCCGTTGGGTCTCCAGCTGAGGGACAGTTCTGCAGTTCGTGGTCTTGTCCAGTAGGCTTGCCTGTTTCACTGTGGTATGGGGACCAGAGCTCAGTAACAGCAAGGTTTTTCTGTAATGTATATGCGAGTGTGGTTCCTTTAATCTTGCAGGTTATTTATGTTGCCAGGAACCCAAAGGATGTGCTGGTGTCCTATTTTCATTTTTCCAAGATTGTCATCACCCCTGACAATACCCCAGATTTCAGTATTTTCTTGGAGAGGTTTTTAGCTGGGGAAGGTAATGTATTTTTCCTAAAATGGCAAGCCTTGTTCCCTGAGCACAATCCAAGTCAACGTTAGATGCATTGATAACCTGTACAAAGCTGGAGCTGGTCAGAATCAGGCTCTTCCTCCTTTTCCTACCCTGCCATATACCACACGAGAGTCAAAAGCTGCAGTGACCGTAGTAGCAGCCAGAGCTTGGTATCAAACATGTCCTCGTACCATCAAAGTACAAGCTGCCTCATTTATCTCAAGTGAATACTTACCATGAAACACCATAATGAAGATTTAAATCTTTGTGGGCTAATGTACTGAGATAATCAAGCTGATCCTGTGAGGATGATCACTGTACAAAGAAAACATAAACCTTGTTTTTTACCATTATTAGAAACATGCCACTAATATGTTATCCCAACCAGATAAACCCCTACCCACCTAATAGCTAAAAGCCTCAGCTGTCACCTGTACAGCTTCTGAATTTTCCTTTAATCTCTCTTACAATGCAACAGTCTCACATAATCAGGCTACGGCACACTGAAAATATAAATGCAGATTAAAATCAGTAATAAAATTAGGAGTTCTGCAGTGTTGCTCTACACCTTTGCATCTTTAATTCAATAGGTATCAGCTGTTGTTGCTGAAGTCGTTGCTAAATATTTCATTTTCCAAGCGCTATACCCCCCCATGCCCTGCCCCACCCCAAAGAAATAGAACAACATAGAAGAAAATAGCCATTGGATTGTATCATATTTCTCATTACAGCAAAGCAAAGAGAAATAGTATTTAAAAAGTAAAAGCATAATAATGAGCATAGGCATTTTGTCCCATGTGGTATTTATATTCTGCGCGGTTACTGATGTATATAGTAAGAGACAAAATAGTCCTTTATTATCCATTAAAGTTAAAGTTGGTAATCCTCACAAGCCTAAAATAGGATTGAGCTTTGCTTCCACCACGTGTTTAAGACAGAATGTAAACCAGAATCGGGCCATGAACATACATAGGAAATGAAAATAAATTTCTGGGAATAATTTGGAAATTATGCCTCGGTATCCACTAAACAACATATAGGAAAGAAAAGGAGACAGTAGTGTATTTAACTGCTTCTACAACCCTGCTTCTGGTGATTGGGAGGGATAAATATACTGAGAATTTGCTTATTCTTCCATTAGAGGTCATTCATTTTTTGTTATTCTAATTTTTTTTGGTAAGTGCTTAGTAGCTCATGGCTGGATCATGTCAGAGGCTGGTATGACCACAGGGATGATTTCAATATCTTCTTCCTGACTTATGAAGAGATGAAAAAGGTAAGGTCAGTGACTATCACTGTAGCTAAGAATACCAATAAACAATAGACCATGCTCTGTCTCTCTCCTCACCACGGGCTGTACTTTCTCTGTGTGGAGAGACACCTCCCAGACTTGTGGCCCTGTGTACTTTGAAGAGGTGAATGTTCAACAGCACAATGGTTGCGGTGTTGTAATCATTGTGTGTGAACAAGACAGGAGCAATGCACATTTATCAAAACCCACTCCAACTGCTGCTGGAAGGATTGCTGAAAATAAAACTCAAGAAATCCAAGGAAGAGGGGCATGCCTTCAGATAAAGATGAAGGCCAACCCCCTTCTCCTCACAGTCTGTACCAGTCTCATTAGGTAATAAAATTATTTTGGCCCCAAATATGGCAATTGTCTTTCTGCTCAGAATCAGACCAAGACCCCCTCAGCAGAAACTTCCATGTTCTTGTCCCAGCAGGAGCATCCCAACCAAAATCCCCATCCTTGGCTGCCTCCAACACCCAGTTCTTCTGATGAAGGCATCCTACCCCCAAAAAGCCCAAAAAGGCCCCACTGACATGTAGCAATAGGAGGGGGTGAAAATTCCTTCTTAGCCCCATGTGGCAACATGCAAAGCCCAGGAGTATGGGGAACTCTAAATGTCCCCATATTGCTCTGCAACCCTTCTGAAAAGGCTCCAGATGTATGTCTATCCACATCCGGGTACATTGGTTTCATTGTTACAAGGTCTAATGGATTTCAGTGAAACTTCTGGATCAGATACTTTTCAATAGGACTCTTGAGTGGCACAACTGAATCAGAGTGAGATTTTCACTATCACCTTCCATCAGGATTCCACCACAATCACCTTCTACTCAGGCAGTCAGGGTTCCTAAGTCTACAGAAACAGGAGAATGACTCCTTGGTCTAGAGGTTAAGGCACTTGTGTATAAATAAGAGAAGCAGTCCTTTGTTTCAGTCGCTGTTCTAAGAAATAATCCTGTATTTTATTCAATGCCATTTAATATTCAGTGCATAAGGAATCCTCCATAAAGGCTCCCATCACTGTATCCTGGCCACTAGGCTATGGAATTATTCTCCCATTTTCTCCTTCCTCTTAGTGAATCCTGAATTTTTAACAGCAAAGTGGGAGAGAATGAGCAGTACTTCTATAGCCTAGCTGATAGCCTTGATAGTTTGAGCACTTTCCTGGAAGGTGGGAGATGTGGGTGGAAACCCCCAAGGCTGTGGAGGGCTTCAAACTGTGGTCTGCCATTTTTGCACAAGTGCTATAGCCATTGGATGAATACGTAAAATTGGGGCACTGCACCAAGCACTGCCTGCCATTGACCATGCTTTAAAAACAAAAATAAGTTTTACTCAGGTCTTTGAAAGAATCATTATAAGCAGATGACTAAAAAAGCTTGCAACAAAAAGGTCATTAAATGGTCCTGTCTGTGAGATGCTGAAACTTTCTAAATATAACCTGAGATACATTTTGTGATAAAAAAATGGCATCAGAGTATAGAATACTAAAAATCATAACATATCTGGTCACAAATAGTGCCAGCCCTATGATTCTCACACACAAAGACAGACCTTTGTTTTCCCATCTTTATTTAGTTCTTCTACTATCATTTGTTCTATCATATTATTTCTTCTGTTCTTTACATTTTTAAATGGGAAAAGGGTAAATTAAAACAATGCTCTTTGCAGGATCTCAGAGGTGCCGTGTTGAGAATCTGCGACTTCTTGGGCAAGGAGTTGAGTGAAGATGACCTGGATACTGTGGTGAAGAAAGCTACATTTGAAAATATGAAGAAGGATCCCAGGGCCAACTATGAGACCCGGCCAGGTGTTCGGCTGGAGGAAAAGAAGTGTTTTCTTCGCAAAGGTAAGATGTTGTCAAATATGATGAAAGATGGATACAAGTTGGGGTAAATGTAACTTTCGAGGACCTTGAATCACTGAGAAAGTCCATGCCCAGGGAACAGAGGACTCCGTGGGAGTAAGATTTGAGAGTGGAAGGGGAGAGGGTGGGGGGGTTCTCACTGTGTCTTGGGCACAATATCTTCAAGGCTAAAAGAGCAGCAATATTTTGTTCAGTGCAATGGAAGGTGGCATGACATTGCCCTAATGTATGATTGGTAGTGAGGGACACTGCCCTTCCTTTTATGGGGTTGATATGATTCCCAGATGTTATTCAACAAACATGCAAACTTTTACTGGAGAGCAAGAGTGTCACCACAAACAAAGAAAAGGGTTTGCTTCCAGGAATTTGAATCTTAGAGACAGCCCTCCAAAAGATACCAGGGAGGATGCCTGAGCTGAGTGGAGGGACTCTGGCCTCGGAGGTGGACCAAGCAAGATGTTGCCAGAGAATGGGGATCTTCCATGCCCAGGGAACAGAGGACTCTGTGGGAGTAAGATTTGAGAGTGGGGGGTTTCTCACTGGATGATGGTCTCAGGCACAATATCCTGAAGGCTAAAAGCAGCAATGTTTTGTTCAGTTCAGCTGAAGGTGGCATGACCCTGCCCTAACAGTCTGAGTGATGGGGGACACTGCCCTTCCTTTTACGGGGTTGATATGATTCCTAGATATTGGTGAACAAACACACAAACCTTTACTGGACAGGAAGAGTGTCACCCCTAAACAAAGACAAGGTCTGGCTTCTAGTAATTTGAACTTCAGGGACAGCCCTGCAAAAGATACAAGAAAGGATGCTTGAGTTGTGCAGGAGTGACTCTGGCCTTGGGAGGTGGACCAAGCAAGATGGTGCCAGAGAATGGAGAACTTGGTTGATACAGTGAGACACAGAGAATCTAGACTGAACCAGGAGTTACTCCTCCGTCCTGCATCTCCCCCTGCCCCCCTATGTAGTGTCTGCCCATGCCCCCTCCCTCACCGTGGGAGGTATTGAAACTATGAAATTATATATATAAGCCTTAGTCTGTCTGCCTGTAATGCTCTATTTGCACTCTGACTGGTTGTCTGAAAAAAACAAGCAGTGTTCCAAGAGCGTTTGGGACAGGAGGTAGTGGCTGGACTGCTCCCATGATGGTGGGGACGGAGAGGACAGAGATGGGGGGGGTGGAGGGGTGCGATCCTTGGAGGTGGCAGTGGGTGGAGTGGGCCTGGACCCCAAGCAGCAGAAAGGCAGGGAAGAGGGAGCACCCCTGGGCCCCAGGCCCATCCCAGCAGAGGGTGGGGAAGAGGGAGGAGCGGGCCTGGGCAAGGAGCACAGGGGGAGGGGGGAGGACACGGAGCTTCATCCCTGCCCGCCCCACCCCCCACTCCCTGGAGGCAGCAGCTCCCTGAAGGCTCTGTCCCCGTGCCCTCCTTCCCGCTCCATCATTTTTGATGGGCAATTGGCTAGTTATTAATCATTATTGATAAGCTTTTATCCATGGAATTTCACACACACAACTCTAATTTAAAAAATCTGGAGCTGTCTATATTGGCCAACTCTGCCAAACTTCTAGAAACAAATCTCCAAATCTGCAGTGCCATGAAGGGTTATAGTTTGAGAGACTGAGATAGTAGGCTCTGAAGGAATGTTTCCCACTAGTAGCGTGTAGTACTTCTGAAGGGCACAGGTTTTATCCAGAATGAAATAGTGTTCCAGCAGCACCCATGCATCTGAGCACTAATACCCCCTTGCCTTCTCTCCTGCCAGGTACTGTTGGAGACTGGAAAAACACAATGACAGTGGCACAGAATGAGAGGTTTGAAGAGGTTTTAAAGGAGAAAATGAAAGACCTGCCTTTCAGCTACATCTGGGATAATGAAGAAGCAATCTAAGCTGATATACCATATGCAAAGAGAGAAGTGGGCCAAGGAGAATAACAATATTTTTGTTTCCTGTATAAAATGTTTAAATTACAGTGGTTTTGTACAAATTAAAGATACAGATCCTATTGACATTTATAACCATGGTATCAGAGTTCTAGGATGTCAAAAGATGTTACACAAAAACAGATTTCTTACAATTTATTTAGCACCTGGCCTCTCCCCCCCCCCCCCCTTTTTTTTTTTGCGCGGGGGGGAAGAGGGCAGGTGGAAATGAATTGTAAGAAATATGTTTCTACAATCATAGTCAAAGTCTATTCTTATGTAAACTTGCTTAATCTTGCAAAGCCAGTGGAATTTGAATG